TACGGCACAAAGTCTGGCCTTTTTCACTAGCACGATCTGAGACGCAGCTAAAAGGCTACAGGTATGACGTGCATAACGACTGCAGAGCTAGTCGTGGATCGCCTTTCGGAGGTTTAGCATTGTTTCCACGCCCGTGGGCGCGCGCGGAGACAGCTCGCTATACAGAACAGACGCAAACCTTGGAAAGTATATTCGGGGTCTAGATTTGGTCAAGATTGGCTTTCGTTCAGCAACACTTACATTGACCCCCAATCCGGCTCGTCGCTTCTGCTTCCACAATCTGATAACCGGCATAAACCGACGATATGCCTCGTTGGCGCGTCGAGACGGCGGGCCTTACTCGGCCATATACTTTCAACCTCCGCTTCACCATCCGGTTGGTAACGCACAATGTTCTGTATAACCTCGCAGTCCCTACCCCAATAGTTCGAACAAGCGGGATCAGCATAGGCATGATTTGTCAGTAACACTGATACGCGTTTTGGAGCTGGTGATCACCAATCTCGTCAGCCCTGTCCTGGGTTGGGCCGCTGCAAAGAAAGCAATGTATGAGGTTCATACCTAACCTGACGATGTCAACCGCGTGGTCTTACCGCAAACAGGCCCCACATCCCCTCCCTGTAGGCATAGCAAGGACAACCCAACTACGGACAAATCTCAAGCGTCGGTCGGACCCTCGGCGGAAGCATATGTACGAAAGACTGTCGTGCTGTGAGGCGGCGGGTGATCACGTCTGTGCCGTATCTCGGCGTTTTCACCGATAGTCGCTTCGCTCAGGGCGCGGCGTTGATGGCGGTAAGGCTGACAGACTTACAGGGTTTGGGTTCATGTGAACAATCACCTACAAGGTATTGCATATCCGCGACATTCCGCCAGGACCCTGCTGCGCACCGCCAAGCCTACCGAGATGCCGTACAAACATCCTAGTCGGATATGTTGATCTGGGGCAGCAGCATGGGGGGTTACAAAGCTGACGACAACAGTCTTGTCTACGTATGCATCCCTTGCTCCAGCATACGCACGCCGTCTTGGCTTCCTCAGACTCGTGTCTGGGGTCGCACTCATGATTAGCGGACGGTTTCTCAGATATCCGGATAGGTGTATGACACAGACTGTCTGTCATACCCTACGTATGCGCGTAAGTCCATGTCGTGGATCCCTTGGTTTACACATGGTACATCCTGGCATACTGGACTTTGCGCATCAACTGCGCTACTGCTACCACACTACATGGAGTGTGGCATCGAGACGAGGAACGAAAGCGAGATAATGCAATGTTGAACCCACATTGGCAATAGAGTTTGAAGAAGTTTATCTCAAGTGCAAAAACGTTGGGTTATTTGCGTCTGCCGTGTGGGACTTGGTTGTTTGGTGGTTTGCTTTGTCTCGTGACGAGGTCAATGTGGGGGATGGGGCGCCGTGTAAAGTCGTAAACTTTGTTTGTTGGAGAGCCACAGGCGGTGGCTCAAGGTGATATCAGCCGGTCGACTATTGACTGCTACAACTATGGATGAGAATTTTTGAGGAGGCTAGAGGGGAGAGTATTTTTCCGTAGAAAGACGCTGTTGTTACTCGGTTCTTCAAACTGCTTTAGTAGCATACTGGGTTTCAGTGGTGCGGTGTGGTTGTTCTCTGTGTATCGAAAGGCGATTGAAGACTAACATGAGCACAAGAGATGATCTTAGGACCCAGAGCACGATAGATTTAGTCCATGTTAGACTATCCACACAAGTGCTCTCCATGCTTGCGCTTTCATCCTATGACATCCACGTTTCACTTCACACTTGCATTCTGTCCAAACTTGCAGTTGCTATGTAGCAACCATACTTTCATGCTGAACAGTCGTATAAAACTTTGTCTCGAGGCTCAAAACATGCATACGTGAAGTATCCAACCAAAAGTCGTGTTCAAGATTGATGTAGGTCGTGATTGGTCAAAGCGCGCCTTCTGCCGTAGCGAATTCAGGAACAGGCATCGCTCATCCTCCATCACGTCAGCCAATATGTCGCGTCTCGAAGACATTCCCACACCCGACAATGGCTTCTATGTTCTCGTCACGGGCGCAAATAGGTAAGAACATCTACTCTTCTTTCATATATGGCTAATTGACTCGTGTATAGCGGCCTGGGGCTGGGTATCGGAACCCGCCTGATCTACGAATTCCTACAGACGCGCCCCCAGAACGAATCCCTCGTCCTCATCATCACGACACGCGACCAACGGAAAGGCGACGCGACGATCGAGACGCTACAACAGCATCTGCGCAAGGTCATACGCAGCCATGAGCAAAAGCTACCGGGTATTGCACAGGTGCTGCAGAATCGCGTGTATTTCCGGCAGGAGCGACTGGACCTGCTGAGTCTGGTCTCGGTACAGAAGCTGAGCAAGAAGCTCCGGGAAACGACACCGAAGCTCGATGCAGTCATCTGCAACGCTGGCATAGGCGGATGGACGGGTATCGACTGGCCACGCGCCGTTTGGTCTGTCTGCACGAAGTGGTTGCAAGCCACCACCTGGCCGACATACAAGATCTCTGAACGTGAATGGCTTGCAAAGGAACAAATACCTGCGGACAGGAAGACGGAAAAGGAGCCTCCTTTAGGCGAGGTCTTCTGCGCCAATGTGTTTGGGCACTATCTGCTAGGACACTACCTCGCACCCTTACTGGCGAAACATCCCAGGAATGAGGGCACAAGGGGCAGGATGATTTGGGTCAGCAGCTTGGAGGCGTACGAGCACGTCTTCGACACAGAAGACATACAAGGCATCACATCGCATATGCCATACGAGGCCACGAAGAGGCTGACAGACGTCCTCGCCATCACCTCTAGATTACCTTCAACCACGGAGCCTGTCGACCAGTACCTCCAGCACGCCCAAGATACGGAAAAGACCACGAAGCCACGACTCTACGTTACACACCCAGGCATCTGCGCCACTTCGATCGTACCCCTTCCCCTCATCCTCCAATGGGCCATGGTCGCGGCCTTCTACATAGCGCGCCTTCTCGGCAGCGATTGGCATACCATCTCGGTCGACAAGGGCGCGACTGCCATGGTTTGGCTGGCGCTTGCAAGTCAAAGCACATTGGACAACATGGAGGCAAAGGAAGGTGTAGGAAAGTGGGGAAGCGCGGCGGATGTTTGGGGCCAGGAGCGTGTAGATCGCACTGAGGTGGCAGGATGGGGATGGGGAGGCAAGCTGGGAGAGTACAAGAGGAAGGGGAGGGATCCGTACGCCAAAGACCTGACCAAGGAGAGCCAAGAGCGCTTCACAGACACTGGGAGGAAGTGCTGGGAGGAGATGGAGAGGTTGCGCGTCGAGTGGGAGGACCGACTGCGACAGGCTGGCATGGCAGTGGAGATGGAATGATCACCGTCCCCCGCTCCCCACATGCAAGAGGCCACACACTATTTGTATATCTTTGATATTTCACGATAGAGATAAACTTTCTCTCTTGCGCCCCACATGCAGAGCAGCGGGGCACAGGGTTCGGCCAAGCAATTAACTCAGCAATTCACCGTCTACTTGCGACGTGACAAAACCACCAAGAAGGCAGCTAGCCAGCAAAAAAATGCCGGAATGACAGTGTTGGCACCGACATTATGCCGGGCGATCGCTTGTCGGAGGGGAGCCCGAATGCTTGGGCAACATGAAGGTTGAGGCCTGAGCTTGACAGCTGAAGTATGCAGGTTGACGGCCACACAGCAGGGACAAGGCCGAGTCTGAGGAGATCTTGGATGGAGGACTGGAATCGTGGTAGACTACGTCAACTCGGTCGCAGATCTGGCAGAAAAAGAAAGTAAATGATGAAAGCTGGGAGACCACGGAGACCTGGACATTAATGTGTGCCTCATCACAAATCACCTCGGCGACGACCGACGAACGACAGGACTGACCTGCGCTGGAGGCAGCGCTACTGGGCATAGTCTGGATGGTCGGGGAACGCGCCACACTGCGCCGCACTCGGGTTCGCAGGCGGTTTCGCACTATGTGGTGTTTCTTTTGGTGGATGCTGAAGTTATCGTAGGAGTAGGTAAGCAGAGCACGCCTCGAGACTATTATCACATCCCCCGCAATCGCAATGTCTCGTTCGTGATGTTTCTTGTGACGACATGCGTCGCTCATGCAGCAATCCCAGGAACCGCACTCGACAACTCGTCCAGGCAAGGGGCTTAACCAGGTTCATCCCCACTCATCTCCCAAAAGCACGAATAGGAAGTGTTGACGCGACGTGCAATCCGCCGTGCTGGGTCGCGCCGGCCAAGGGCTCCCGCTGTGCCCCTTCTCACTTGCCCTATCTCGGTCAAGTCTTCCCTTCTGGCCCTCCCTCCCCCATCCACTGAGAGTTGCTGCCCGACGCGACTGTTCGCTATCCCTGAGACAATTCGTGATTTTCGAGTCCTCTTCACGCGCACAAGTCTCTCTAATACTACCACCTCTTCACTTCCTTCACTCAATTCCGCCAGTGAATGCGCCTGCCGTGAAGTCACGATCGAAGCCATCTACGCGATCCCAGCAACGTGCACTCGACTACTGTCACCGCTCATTTTCTTTTACCACGACAACCCAGGACGCCAACAGTTGCGCAATACGTCGACGTTAGCATTGTCCCTGCCATAGCGCGAATGGACCCCAAGAACGACCCGCTTTCGAGCGACTATCCACCCATCTTCGCACGCGACGCGACCGTTCAAGCGCCGTTGCTATCAACAACCCTCGCATAGGCGCAAACCTCACCTTCGATTCGCATACCCTACGTAATATCTCGACCTACACCTATCCAGCCGACTGAACGAAATTGCCTGTCTTGGTCGCGTGACGATTGCTAGAACTGGAGGCGCATACATTGTTCGCGCACAGGACTTGGACTATACAATCGCATTGTCGGCGACCAGCTTTCTCTCGCGAACAAAGCGCTGTTTCTGCTGGATTGAGAACACTGCAAGTCTACCTATAATACTGCCGGTCGCAGTTATTCACCGGAACTCCACACCAACATGTCGAACACCTCTTCATCACATGGTTCCTCGCGTGGGATAGACTTTAGGCCGTCTACCCCCGACCAGACCCGACCTACGCTTTCTCGATCGAACTCCCTGGCGCCGAAATCAGAATACCTACGGCATGCGCTCCAAGCACGGAGGGCACAGGGTACGCCAACTCCTTCACCTCAGGATATCAAAGTGCCACCGCCACTAGCGCAGAAGCCTCCGGAGATATGCACGCCTAAGACCTCGCCAGATATCTTCGATCAATTCGCCCTCACGGAAGAACAAATGACCCCGGTTTCGCCCATCCGACGACGTCGGCCCAGCGATGCTCGTCCACCGCAGTCCAGGACGAGTCGAGAACTCACAGAAGAGATCGACAAGTTGAAGCAGACGCTCATGACTGCCAACATGCGAGTGGAGCTGCTGAGGAAGGACAACAAGGTGCTGCAGCATGATCTGACGGCCGCCAAAGAACAAATCGAACGGATGGAGCCACTAGAGGATGCGAACTACGAGCTGACTGCGGAGAACAAGCAACTCAGACTCAAAATGGAAAAGATGGATGAAGAGATTACGAAGCTGCGAGAAATCGACGAGGAGCATCGGAAGACCAACATCGAGCTCACCGCTATAGCAAGCGAGAGCGCGGCACACTGGACAGATCACGAGCTCGCCATCGAAGAAGCCGCCGAGCACATCATCAAGATGGAGGAAGAGAAGGAGTTGCTTTCGGAAGAAGTCAGGCAACTCAAGCAGCGAGTCATGGCTATAGAAAGCCATTCCCCCGCTAGCACGCTCGTCAACAGCCCTGGCAAGTTCCCACTTCGCGTCTTCAGTGTGGACGAGTCGCGGCCTTCTACTTCACACTTCGACTCGGATTACTACAGCCAGCCTGAATCGCCGCAAGCCAAACACAGCAGTGCGTCCATCAGGTCGTTTACGCCTTCAGAACGGTCGAAGAAGTTTCTTGATCTCAAGGAAGAGCGACGACGGTCTGCTCGTGATCTGAGTGAGCGCATGTCTGCAGTATCCCTGAAGGCACTACGCGATGCGTCTCTTTCTCCAACGCCAGAAGAAGTTCCCGCAGTCCCTACGACCCACCAGCAACAGGTTCCTTCCATTGTAGCGGATCATAGGTCTGCCACTCCCTCCAGACGCCGTGAGCACGTTCGCCAAATCGACCAGCCACGTCCGCTGTCTTTGATGGACGCAGCAGAAATTTCCCCACCACGAGCACACACCGTTGCCCCTCAGGCTCCTGACCGCCAACCAGACGGTCTACGAGGATTATACCGCCCGCGCAAACCCTCAAACCGAGCATCAACCGACCAACGCCCATCCTCAAGCTACATCCCTAGTACCACAAACACCCCCGGCAGTTCCCTAGGCCGCCACCACTCCACCCGAGAGGCCTCCCCTCACGTGCCCCCACGCAGCAGCAGCAGACACCGAACCACAGAGCGTTCAACCGAGTCACCCCAATGCACCTCACCACGCCACCGCTCCTCCTCCATCGGCGCGCGAACCCCCCAAACAAACCGACATTCCATGGCATCAGGGTGGGAATCCACAACCCCACCCCCCTCCTACTCCCCTTACTCCCCTGCCTCCAATGCCTCCACCCTCGATCTAACCAGCTCGTTAGATCCACGTCGAGCCAAGGACCAATGGTGGCGCAGCCTCGATCGTTTAACTCACTCTCAAGTCATGGCTCAGGAGATTCAAGCACAGGGGATACAGATGCCACGTGGTTATGACGCCGGGCCAAATCCTCCTGCTGTTGCTGCTCCTCCTAACAGCCAGCGGACGAGGAGCAGTAGTACGACGGGTCAGCATCGCAGCCGTAGACCTACGCCTACGCCTTCGAGTGCGCTGAATAGTCATCCTGTGGTGTCGGCGGAGAAGGATCTGCTGTTTAATGCAAAGGAGAGTACGGAGGATTTTATGAGTAAGATGAGGGGGGGTAAGGGGTCGAGGGATTCGGTGTTTTCTTTACGGTAGTTTTCTTGGGGTTTTTGATGATTGTACGGCCGTATTTTTGTGGGTTTTGATAACGGCGTTTGAGAAGGAAGATAGTTTACTCCGCGAGGAGGTCATTCCATAGCGTGGGAGGGGTATATTTGAGATTGCGGCTTTGTTTCGCGTCTACATCCTCTTTGTCCCGAGGACACACTAGAGAAGGCATCTGTATCATTAGTCGAGTATATCGACATCACATCGTATAATAACATCACCCATCCTCATATCTCTTCCATAACACATAAGTGAAATAAATCATAATCCCACATATCGAAAACAAGCGAATCCCAAATGCACTCATACCCCAGTGTAATACCAAAACCCCATCCTACCCCCTCCCCCTAAACTGCTCAGCAACCACATCCCCAAGCGTCCTCCTCTGCCTCGCCTCCCCCGTCCCCTCCGCCAATATCCCCGTCGCCAACCCCGCCCCACCCCCCTCCCTCTCCCTCTCATCCTCCAACCTCGCCCTCAACCCCTCAAACCCGCCCTTCTTCTCCTCACCCACAACCCACCCGGGCACCCTCCACCTCGCCGCACCGGGCAGCACATCGCGCCTATACGCGGTTCCAACCCCCCACCCCACCGCCGCCGCCAGTAAGCTCCCCGGGAACTGCGATAGCGCGAGTTGCAAAGGTGGGAGGTAGGACAAGGATTTCGACGTCAGCGTTATGGAGCGCGTGTAGAAGGATTGTTGGGATGGGGTGGAGGCGGCCCAGGGAGAGATATTGTAGCGGTAGGTAGACGGGATTGTAGCGTAGTAGTTTGCGAGGAGGGCGAAGAGGAGGGGGGTTGGGCCGGCGGGGAGGTGGTTCATGCGGCCGAAAGTCAAGGGGCGGAGGATGAGGGTTAGGATGAGAGGGGGGAGGAGGGTTGTGTAGGGGAGGGTGGAGAGGAGGAAGGACTGTGGATTGTTAGTTGACTGGTGTAGCTGCGGGAGGTGGGTAAAAGGGAGAGGGTACACATACAGCGAACTTCCTACTCCCCCAAATCCTTTCCACAACGCGGAGTTGGTAGAATGTCAAGACTGCGAAGAGGACTTCGGTTGAGTTTGTGAAACTCAGCTGTCATCTCATGTTAGCATCCCTCTCATCCACCCCATCCCCGTCCATTCCCCATTCTTCCCCATCCCTCCACGAACTCAGTAAAACATACCATCCAAACCCCACACCTCCAAAACTGCCCATACCCCCACAAATGCGGCACAACCTGTATATGTAGATAGAATCTCGAATCCGTAATCGCAGCCAGCAGCGCGCCAATGACGGTGCCGAAGACGAGGAATTGCGTTACGGGCGCGTTGGTGAAGCCCGAGGAGATCATTGTCGCGTTGGGTTGAGAGGATAGAGGAGGGCGATGCGATTGAGGGTGGTTATAGCATGGTCGAGGTAGAAGGTTGTGTGTGCGATGGAGGAGAGGGTTGGTGGGTTGAAGGTAGGGGACAGGTGGGAGCGATGACGATCGGCGCATGTGCGCGATGCGGAGCCAAGGGCGGAGGTGCCACAGTTGCCATTGGTACGCGAATGACCTAGCCCTGGTTGCACTATCTTTCACATTTTGGGAAGAAAGTCGCGTGTACTCTGTTTTGATAGGATAGGTTTTCCGAGCATGCGCTACCCATGTTAGTATGAAATTGAAAGGCATCTATGGTACGCGCAGTCAAGCATAAGAAGCATCGCTGAACAGCAGTTGAGCCCGCGCAACACCCACAGTCACAGCTCATGCGACCAACAACAATTCGGATAACAGGATGATTTCGTTTAAATACAATCACACGCCAAGACAGGGTACTCAGCTATATACACAAGCCAAAAAAACACGACCATGGGCTCCTAGCCAGGAACGCCTCGTCGCCACAAAAAAAGAGCCACACCTTCTCAAATTCCCCCCCGCATACACACGTTTATTTCTCACCCCTGTTATCACTACGCGCAGCATTCTTCTTCTTCTCCACAGCCGCATGCTCATGCTTAGCCAGCTTCTCCTCGCTAGAACCCTCCTCCTTGAAGACCTTCTCGCGGTCAACAGGGCCAGGGATATGTTCCGGAAGCTCGCTACGGGAGATGAGAGTGAGGACGATACTGGCTCCGACGATGGCGGTGAGGACAAAGCGGTATACGGCATACCAATTGGGTGTCCAGCCGAGGCGGCTTACGCCTGTGTGTTGTGTTAGTATATGGATGTGAGGGAAAGAGGAGAGGGAGATGGGGAAGGGGGAAGGACGTACGAGTATCAACATAGTACAACCCAACGAAACCCAAGAACTGCGAGATGAGCGCGCCTTCAATGGGCATGAGCAGTGTTGACCATGCTACCATGGGTGCTACAACACCAATTGCATAGCGCTTGTAGCCCTGTGTGCCTCCGTAGCCTGCCCACTCGAGTCCCCAGTGGATAGCGCCGAGGAAACTCAGGATGGACGCGCCGTACCCGATTTGAAGGGGCTCGATGAGGGAGAGGAGGTATGTAGCGTCTTTTTGAGAGAAGATCATGCCGTAGCCCGCGGTGGAGTGGTTGAGTTCCCACGAGAGATACACGGTGGAGATGGAGGTTGCGAGGTAGGGAAGCGTGCCAGCGAGACCCATATAGTATGCTTCGCGCGGGACTTCAGCGAGGGAGAAAGTTTCTTTGATTGTGCCCTGGTATTTGTTAGAATCCATAACCAAAAGACGTCGTCAATATTGCGCAGAGAGAACTTCGTATACATACCACATCATGCTTCAACCCCGCCGCCATATCGACCTCATTCTGCGGCTGCTCGGTGCCCACCTCCGAAAACATAGGATGCGTCGAACTAGTACTCGTCACCGTCTCGGGCGTAGGCTTAATCTTCTCGTGCGCATATCTGCTCTCCGCCTGCTTCTGCCCTTCCGTCAACGTCTTATCAGCCATGCTGCGGCGCAAGACCGCAGACGCAGGCTTCCATTGCGCAGCAGCAGCCGCCTGTGCTAATTGCGGTCTCCGCGCAGCCAGAGAACCGAATTGTGTTGCCCATTGCAGAGAAGGTGTTGTGCGGGTGAAGCTCACAGCCGGGCGTGCCGATTGTGGCGCTGCTGCGGACCTCAGCGCGAGGCGCGACGCTCCGTTGCGAAGCATATTAGATTAGCGGGTAGTAGGTGTGTAAGATGGGATAGGGAAAAGCAAGGGAGGTGGAACAACGCGGGTGTAGTAATGTACACAAAGCACGAGCTGGGTATATTGGGGAGAAGACAAGAGAAGATAGGGTTAGATAGTACTTGCGATTCCAGCTACAAGCTTCCCCCGCAGGTTGACGCGCGACGCCAGTCTGACGTCATGCATGCTTTTCATCATCGCCGGCCATGCTTCGGCATCGCAATCGTGATCCTTGCTCGTAGTGGATCGCAACGGTGCCGCGACCCGTAAATAACGCGAGGGAGCTGTCACCATGAGACAAAATGTGCCGTTGCGCGGTGGGGCTTTCACGCACCATGCTATCAGTTCGATCATAATTCGGCCCAGCCTCGCTCCAGTCCGGCCATACGGACAACTCGACCTGAAGATGACGCACGATCATGATGCTCCATTGCTCTAAGAGAAAATCATCTGATTGATAGAAAGAGTAGACATTATAGGAGTCCAATCGAAACCGCAAACTCATACCAAAACCACACTATGCCATGTACTCATAAACCTCATTATACCTCCCCTTCTACTCACTCATTCCCCATCTCAATCAACCCTTCGCGTTCCACCGGTCATTATAAGCATTAACACCCACAGCAACCTGTCGGTAGAACCAGTTCCTGCTCTCCTCATCACTAACCGGAATGAAAGGCCCATTTGTGCCTCCCTTGAGCGTGATACCCAGTCCCGTCCTCTCCTTGCTGATGGTCTGAACGTCCTTGAGCGGCACATCCCATTCAGTCTGCAGCTTCTTTGTGCGCACCATCATAAGGCCGTTGTATGTGAGCATGACGAGCATCTCCTTGTTCTGCAGCTCCAGATGCGCAATGTAGTCTTCGTTGAAGTACTTGCCGTTATCAAGTGTCTTCAGCCAGAACTGACCGAGCGCTTCGCGTTGAGAGTAGGGGCGCACGATGCCATCTGTGCCAATGAAGCGCGTGAGGCGCACGCGATCGAGGCCTTCTTGGTCGAAGACGGTGGTTGTGTTGCGTACACCCTCTGCCATGTTGGAAGCAAGGTCAAAGGCTCCGATGGCGGCCTTGGTAGGTACTCCCAACAGTCCTTTGCCGACTCCCTTGACGAAACCAAGAGCACCTTCCTTCTCAGCTCCTTGGATGGGATGACGGGCGAGACCACCAAGACCACTGGCGAGACTGCTGGCGAAAGCATTACCACCGGATGTGATACCGTAGAGTGCGTGCTTGGGCCTGTTGCGAGACCGCGACATGCGACGCTGGTCCTGGAACTCTTTGTCCAAGGTGGCCGCAGAGAGACCCTTTGACATACTGCCAGTGAACTTGGCCATACTGTCCGAGAATCCGAACACGGACTTCTTGACGAAACTTGATGCACCCTTGGCGATACCGATACCAAGATCTTCGGGTCGATCCGATTTGACGAGACCCTGGTATGGCTCGTAGAAGATGTCTGCAACACCAGAGCTGATGTTGTTGAACAGACCAACTGGGTTACCGAGGAAATCGGCGGACCCGATGATGACGTGCACTTGTCGCAGCGACTCCTGTACGTAATGGTTCTTGATGTTGTTGATCAACGCAGTTGTCGAAATGCGAGCGTTCTCCAGCATCAACGAGTTGTATCGTACTGGTGCATCGTTGACGTTGCCAATTGACATGGTGAGAACATTGACGGCGAACATGAATGGGTTGGAAGTGCTCATGGTATCCTCAGCGTTGATGCGCTCTGTTCGGACGAACGACAGATCGATCTGCATAGGCTGCAGATGGAGAAGCTCAAAGTAGACGTCCTGGCCAGATTGTTCCTGCTTTGGCTCGGGTATGCTGAGATTGTCATCCCATAGCTTGCCCTGCTTCTCT